CAAAACAAGGTTGGATTTTCACCACTTTTAAGAGTGAAAAGATGTTGGTAATTCGCAGCAGCCTGGTCTTTTGTTCCGAATACGATCTTTTGTTACAAGGCCCTGTTCCCTATGTCTTAGTTCGGAGACCCCAGCCACATGTATGCACATAAAAACATACGTGTCCGGATCTGGAATCCTGAATCCCTGGTGGGAAGTGGTTAAAGGTGCACCTTTCAAAGCACTGTATCTAGTGAAGTACATGTACATGTCCGATTGGGTTCAAACCTTGCAGATATCTTAGAAGGGGAGTGCTTAAGATGAGCATTGACTTGATATGATGATGACTTCATAATAAGACGAGTCACGTGACATTAAAGGTGCACCTTTCAGAGCGCTATATATGTACATGTCCGATTGGGTACAAACCTTGCAAATATCTTAGAAGGGGAATGCTTTAGACAAACAGTGACTTGATGTGATGTTGACGTCATCTTGTGACAAATCACATGACATTAGAGGTGCACTATTTAAAACTATATCTCCTGAATTATATGGCAAATTAGGTTCAAACCATGCAGATATCTTGAAAGGGAAGTGGTCCAGACAATAATTGACCTCAGGTGATAATAACGTCTCCTTAAGTACATATCCCATCGTGCAGATAAGAAGAAAAAGAAGTGTTTAGTTGAAGATTTACCTGATGTGATGATGATGTCATCAGATGAGGAGTTAAATCACATAGTACGTGCACCCTTTAAAGTATGTATTTTCTAAAGCACATGCCTTATTTGGTTGAAACGTTGGCCTGGAATGGTCATGATGAAATAATTTGTGCAGTAGATTGGTTTGTTAAATTAACAAAGGAATGCGAAAAATCCCTCTGTTCTGCAAACAGACAGATGACCTCTAGTTTCTTCCTCTTCTCTTCTGCTCAAAAGCCTGTTCCATTTATGCACCTTTTATGCACCTGTTTTCAACACAACATGTTGGTTGTTCAGCAAAAATTAAGTTGTTCAGCTATATTCAAACGTTACATTATGGAAAAATCTTGAAGCAAAGATAATTCTTAAATAATAACGTCTTGATGACGTAATCAGGGGATTTATTATTAAATTTTGAATGTTTAAATATTATTTTGATTTTTAAAAAATCCATGTACATGTAAAATCAACCTTGTCCTCCAGCAAAATTGTCTTTGTGGCAAGTACCACAGTCAAATTGGGTCTTCAATTCATCTTGTGTTGGTCAAATCATGTGACCCTTCTGCTTGAAACCGGAAGTGGGCTTATTGTTTAAAAGTGGTAATAGGTGTCGACTTCCTTTCAATGGTGTTAGTTGTAGGGGGGTATAGTATTCTTCAGAACATCTTTTGATGACATCAGGTTGAAAAATCTGAAATATAAATTTTGAACAGATGTCTGTGGTGAAGCTTGTTGGAATTGGCTAAAAATTGGTCTTTACCCAGTTGACACTTGCGTGAAAGTTGGGGCCAATGACATCATCAGACTGGAAGTTAAAATAACAAGTCTTTTTATTTTTCAATATTCCCTAAAAAATCAACTGTAAGAGGAAGAAGCGTGAATTGTCTATAATGTAATAGCTTAAGTATTGGAGTCTATTGCACCAACTGTGTAACTAGTTTACTTTTTCACACAGGTGAAGCACCAACACCAAAAACACACCTCACCATACCATATTTGCGTACTCAAAAATCCAATTTGTACTGTAAACTGTGTACTGGCTTCTGTGTGGGTGAACACGCTAAATCCGCCTGTGACAAAGACATTGCAAAGTGCATACGCATGTACATGCACTCAGGGCAGTGAAACAAGCATGTGCAAGTAGACTGAATTCAGGTCTCTTTGTATGGAACACCAAATGCCGAAAATGTCATTGCAATATGTGGCACTGATTTTTATGGAACGCCCAAAGATAAAAATGTTTTAAATGCTGTTCCATGCTTTTTTAACGATGAACACAATGTTCACTTGTATTGTACATATCCAAATGGGTTGATACCTTGCCGGTAACTGAAGACAGATGTGTTATAGACAATCATTCACCTTACATGTATGTACGTAGCAGTGACATCAAGAGTTTACAAATAAAGCGACATTAATGTTGCACTCTTCAAAGTACTGTTTCTTGTGAACCTGATTGGGTTAAAATCTTGCAGATATCCTGAAAAGGAAGTGCTTTAGAAGAAAGTGACCTAATGTTATGATGACACCATCAGGTGACAAGTCATGTGATATTGAAGATGCACTCTTTAAACCTCTATATCTCCTGAAGTGAGTGTCCCATCTGTTTGAAACTGCAGATAACAACATGTAGAAAGGGAAATTTTACACACGAATATTGACCTGATGTGATGACATCAGGAGACAAGCCATGTGACATTAATGGTGCACTCCTTAACCCCTTCGCTATGGAGGACTGCAAACACAGCACCATTGTGAGAGGATTAGTGCATACCACACATGCAGTCTATTCACCATGCAGCTGCTGGTGAATGGGGACTGCTGCTGGACAGAGCTTGCATACTGGGCATACTACAGCGTTGTCAGCAGACAAGTCATGTGATATTAAGGTGCATATTTCAAAGCACTATATCACCTGAAGTACATGCCCGATAGGGTTCAAATCTTGCAGATGTCTTGAAAATGGTGTGCTTTAGAGGAATATTGACCTCATGTGATGATGATATCGTCAGGCGACAAATTACGTGACATTAAAGGTGCACTCCTGAAAGGAACTAGGCAATGGATTTTTCTTAAGATCACTTTTTGTGTATCTCTGTACTCTTCTTCCATGTATGAAGACTGTTTGACATCTTTTTGTGAGACTACATAAACTGAACTGTACACTTTTTCAAACATTAAAAATTGACCAAGCATTTCTTACAAGTGAGGACACTTTTGCCTTAATGTAAATACAGGGAGACAATGTTCGGGTTGCGTGTTATGTTCAAATTGTGAATCCCAAATTTGCTATCTGGAAACATTTCTGTGAAATGGACTTTTGCTGGATTTTTGCCTTATACTTACGCAGCAATAAATTGCCAAAGAAAATAAAATCTGCCATAGCAGAGGTAAAAAAAATCTAGAAATTTTTTTTGCACAAATCAGTGCAACATTGAGATTCAGTGCCTTGGATGACATCATAGTTCTGCTCATGAACATGCAAATAGCATTTGCATAAAACAAAAAAAAATCAAATATGGGTTAAAATAGCAAAACAGATATTCAAGATAAGGTTAATTGAAACCAAAGATGCAATTTCAAGGGTTTTAGTAAAATTTCCTGGTTCCATTAAGGCCCTATATCTCCAGAAGTACATGTCCATTGGGTTCAAATCTTGCAGATACATGTATCTTTAAAATGCAGTACTTGGGAGAAATATTGACTCAATGTGATGATATCATCAGGAGACAGGTCACCTGACATTAAAGGTGCACTGTTTATAGCCCTATATCTTCTGAAGTACATACATGTATCTCATTAATTTCAAATGTTGCAGATAACAATGAAAGGAAGTGTTCTAGATGAAACAGTACCTGATGTGATGATGACTTCTCATCATATTAGGAGTCAAATTACATTTTACTTTTGTTTAAAGCACGTTATTTCCAGAAGTGTATGCCTGATTGGGTTGAAACCTTGCACCCAAATGATCATGATGATAGATTTACGCCATTACGTTTGTGCAGTAGATTGGTTGCTCTATTTAAGAAAGGGATGCAAATCTGTTGGCAAACAGACAAGTGCTATTTCATAACATTTTTTAAGTTTAAGCACAAATAAAGGATACTATGAGACCGAAACAGAAATTGAGTGTTTTCTGCCGTTGTTCAATTTGAAATATGCCCAAGAGTCAGAATACCAAGTACAGTGTCTGGAGATATCATTACTTACAGGGAAGATGAACTGAGAAGAAAACAGGCTAAAACAGCTGTGCTCTTCCCAACACCTCTTCTCTTTTTAATTTTTTTTTTTAATCAGTGTGGTAAGAACTCACCATATGCTACATAAGAATAGAAAGAACCCCGGTTTGTCCTGTTTCTCTTAAATTTGTGATTTTTTAAGGCTGTTCTGGGAGTAAATTATGAGGGCGTGCCCGTTGATAACATTTTACAGCCTTATCTGCACATGTACATGTACATGCTGTAACGCTCCACTGTATAGTATTTATTATGAAATATAATAAACTACATGTACGTGTACTTGCTGTACATGTATAGTCTCTATCACATTGTTCACAAGTTGGCCAGAGCTGTGGTTTCTGCCAAGTCAGTTCTGAGTCATCTACATACATGTGAGATTATCATGTAGAAGGTAATTGTACCACTGAGTTGTAATCAGATTGCGAAAGACTGTGCAACCTTTTAAAAGGCAGGTTTTCTATAAATAGGGTTGGATTTGGGGTTTAGGCATGATTTGTTACGGCATGGAGAAGAAATGTCAGTAGTCAATTTCAAAGTCATCCCCTGTAGAAGTGCTGGAATAAATGAAGTCTGGAGCTTCACCACAACAGAGAAGAATTGTCTCTGCATTTGCTTTGAAGTATACATGTAGTACGCGTGCGAGTGATCATTAGCCCACTGTGAATCCTGTTGACGCACTGTGGTCTGCAGGGCGTGATGTTGTTGGTCCAATTGCACTACCATAGACAGGACTGATCCCATCCGGGGTATGACTGTGAAATTAAGCCTGGAACGCATTAGTGTTTGACCGTGCGCACATCACAACATACATGTATTCTTTGCTGGTTGCAAATACATGTACAGGCATATGCGGACTATGGACACCGTGATAAATCTGAAAGCCCAGTTTGAACACAGCTTCAGCTACATGTACATGTAGTTTCTGATTGGCTGTATCAATATTTGTTGCAAGGAAAAAGTGTTTTAAGGTAGTTACTGAATTTTTAATGAGGTTAGTGAAATCACAAAGTGAAAAAATATTTGTAATGCTGAAATTTCAATACGATGATGTTTTTCTCTTTTTTCCCATTCCAAGGCATCTGTGTATTATTACATATTTCCGAGAAATGGGGGACTCAGATGATGACATACCAAAGCTTTCTGCTGAAACTATGGCAGCATTGCAAGAGTTTTATGGAAGCCAAGAAACAGATGATATTAGTGAAAACTGGGTAAGTTGATCGTAATTGTCCAAATTTATACATGTACATGTATATTTTGTATTCATTCTAATTTTTGATCAATGTTGAGCAAAGGCTTTGATTCTCAAGACTAAGGCTCTGACTCTGAAGGAGAAGGCTCAGGCTTTGACCCCCAATCCTTAAGGCTAAGGCCAAGGCCCTCAAAATTGCTACTAATACAGCATAGCTATCTACCACCTAAAAAACACATTCCAAAGTAACATTCAGTTTCTCCCAAAATACATGTTATTACCGTTCAAGGGAAATTGTTTGGTGTAGAGTTATTTCAAAACTGAAGGCTTTATTTAAATCTAATGATGCGTCACAGACATGATACAGATTAGACAAGACAACTGCTTCTTCATACATGTACATGTATGTAAATGTCCAGTGAGCTTCCCTCACACAGCATTCAAAATATGTTTATTCTATTTAACAAACTAACACAGAAGTTAATTGAAATGTCCTACAGAATGAGGATACATTGTTTTGTTGTTGAAATCTCTTTTATTTTCCATCAGCAAAAATTTGCCTTCTGAAATGGTTCAAAGTGTTTAATGTTACAGAGATAAATGCAATAGTACCTTGTTATAATTGAGTGAAAATGGGCAATTTCAACTTACTGTAAGGCACCAAGTCAAAATAGAAACGGATCATGAAGTGGGAAATGATACATAAACAATAAGCTCCTTACCCGCTTCAGAGTAAAGCAGGCAACGATAGGGAGTCACTAGCTAAATGCTTGTGGTTTGATGAACACCACTCCTGGGTGATGTTTTCTAACAATAGAGAGCTTTAAGGATTACACTCCATTGTGGCTGGTGGTTGAGTCATTAGAGCTGTTTATCAACAGCTGGGACCCCAGCCCATTGATATGTCAACAATTAGGGGGTTGGGATGGGTTTATTG